TGTGTGTGTGTGTGTGTGTGTGTGTGCGTATATATATACATATACATACAAGTGCGTTTTCCCCCACATTTTCGACTCGGGAGCCACAAAAGCTAGGAAGCTGAAATTTTAGGCGAAGATCGCTGCCCACGTGCGAACTGTTATATTCAAATATAGCTTATATTTTTTCCTGCGCTTCACGTACGGCCTCGTGAATTCACCGTCAGCCCTTCCTCTACCACTGCACGACTGATGGAAACTCAAGGGTTCAACTGCACCAGAGGACCAACCAATCCCTTTACGTTTCGTTCCTCTATTTTAAGGGTAAATTGGTAAATTGACTTACCAGGGGATTAAAATCGCCATCAGCTTGTTTCTGAGCAGCTTTCTTTTGGGGAGCCTTTTAGCAGCTTTACCATCTAGTGGCTGATAAAGCTGGACTTTGTTCGAGTTCCTCTGGAAAGGTAGAAAAAGGGAAGAATTACGGAAAATGTTCCGCTTATCTCAGTAAAGGAATAGTTTGACATGTGCAGTTTTTAATTTTTTGCGAAGACTTTTTTGATGCTGAAGGACAAAACGGAAGATTCACGGAACATGTTTCTGGGACCTGACCCTTTTTTTTGACCGTATCTAAGGCTAATTTCTGAATTTTGCAGAGCCTTGCTTCACGTGAATACGTCAAAGAGCAGTTTGCATGGCGCCACCATTACTGGTATTTAACGAATGAAGGAATTGATTATTTGCGCGAATATCTTCATTTGCCCACAGAAATTGTCCCGGCAACAATAAAGAGTAAGCCGCGGGAGCAGAGGCCTGGATATGGCGTGGATCGCATGACTCGAGGTAAGCGCGGCATTTTTCCGCGCACTAAATTTGATTTTTTGTCACGAAAAGCTCTTATGCAAGTGTTTTTTGTGTTTCTTCGATACGTGAATCGTTATATGATTTTTTTGTAGGACCGAAGGTAGAAAGCGACCGAGACGCGTACCGAGCTACAGATAAGATAACAGAAGCAGGCCCAGGCGCTGCACCAATATCGGGCTACCGCGGAGGCTATGGACGAGGATCAAGACCTCTTTAGTTAACTGGGATGATCAGGACAGTGGTGGCGAAAAAATCATGATTGTGATTTGAGAATCGTTGTTTGATTATTTGTTATCATACAATAAAAAATTTTTCAATTGATGCTGAATGTTTGACATATTTGGAAGTACGTTGCTATTTGCCGCCATGCTACTTGATTATTTGTTAAGCTTCGATGAAGCAGCAATTTGTTCTTGTTGGCTTTTTTTTTTTGGTTTTTTAAATTTTTGAACGGATAATGATTTTAGATGGTCAAAAGTGACAACACCAAAGAGGTTTTGGTAAGAAAATTAGGGCTGGTTGAGAAAAATAGAAATCTTACGAGGTTTGATCGGATGAGTCAGAGCTTTAGCAAGATGCAAAGAAATGCCTACTTCAGAAATCATAGGGCCAAGTTGATTGAGTCTAAGACACTGAAGTAATAAAGATTGTTAACCGAACTTAATTAGCATTCTCCTCGAACTCGGTGGATAGTAAAAGAATATGAGCGGTAAAAGACGAAATTAGGATCCAGGATTTAGCCAGTTTTATAGACTCCGAACATTTTTTGGATGAGCTGTAATATATACTTTGGGCAGTTATAATTTATAATGTAGTTTTTCGGCGTTTCGACTGGCAATTCCAGTCTT